GCAGTTGGTTCCTCATGTAAGAGGGAAAACACGAAGGCAGTTCTTTTAGAATTTCCTGATGATGGGGATGAGGGAGAGTGAGGTTAGAAGTGTGAAAGAGTGGCAGGTGCTTGGAAGCCCCAAACCCCACAGCATGCATTTCTAGCATTCAGCACCTAGCATAGATATCTGTCTCCTTTCCCACATGATTCCCTGGAAAATGTGTATCCAGTTTACAGCATGTTTACCCCTAAAGATGGAAAGCCCAGTGCTGCTTATATATTACATGCACACACTGGTGGTGTCTGCTTCCTGTGGAACTTATTTTCACAATAAGTTGCTTCGAGGGTGCCAGGTCTGTCTGGTCTGTGTGTTGGGGATGGGGACATAGTTAACAGTGCACATTCAAGAAACATTACTGGGGGTCAGATTCTGGCTTGCTGTCAAACATAGCATGGTACAAATATGCAATTCTAGTAATAAAGAATTGAAGTATGCCTTGAAAATAGTTTTACCATTATACGTTAAATTAGTTCAAACCACAAACAATCACTGAGCACACAGGGTTACTGTCCTTGAACACCCACTGTTCTAGAAAGTGAATGGAGTAGATCATGGAAGTCAAACTACAACCCACAGAGCTGTGTCATTTAGGTTGTGGGCATCCTGGGGAGGACCACAGATTTCCTTGCGGGGTGGGAGGTGCTGCCAGCAAATTATGGGACTCATTTTGGCAGCAGAGGAGCAAGTAAAGATCACATTAAGCCCCATGGTTTCATGAACTGGCAAAGTAGCTTAAGCACCCATAGGGGATTAATACTGCCACTGTCAGAGTTGGGTTGGGATCTGGCCAGTGAGGAGCCCCAGTGTCTAGATCTGGCTGCGAGGGGAGAGGGGTTGCAAATGGATTTGACAGTCCTGGAGCAGAGTGGGTGCACCTCCAAGAGAAGGTCATAAGCAATGCGAAGACACTCTTTTTATGCCCCACAACAGTAAGTACCAAAATATGTCATCAAACTGTTGCTTAAGAACTGGCCTATGAAATGGAGGAAAACTATAGCAAGATGCAAAAGCACATTTCACTTAAACACTTAATGGTATGTGACTTAGTTTTTGAAGCTTCTAGAATGCCTTGAGAAATGTAATTCATTTTTTAAAATTAACAACATTTTGACAACATCCCTTTAATTAAAATTGAGAATAAGTCCCTTGACATGGATTTGGGAGGGAGAAAATTCAGTGGGAAGAAGCAGTGCCAGTGAGAAGCTTGACTTCTGGAACAATTTTCTACCTCTAGAAGAGTTTGCAGTTACCACTGACTTCAAACTTGATTCCTGTTAAAAGTGAAGGGATGCCCTTGTAAGCTTTCAGCCACATTTACTATGAAGGGAAGAGGATCTTTATTATTTCTTATCTGTCACATACATGCTCTCCACTTATCCCTCCATTTGTGTACATGCTATGAGTGGTACATTGTACTGTGTTATAAAAAAGTAGATGGCAAATGAGTTTTTTAATGGTAGCTGTTGTGCTATTTAAGTGGTTGTGGTGCTATTTAAACACTTGGTAGACAAAGCTGAGGAATTCTTAAAAGTAAAAATATTGAGGTTCCTACAAAAGAAATTTTATCATAACTCCATTAAATGGTGTCTTGCTGCTCTGCCCTCATTTTGCCCACTACCTTACTTTAAAATATAGGCAAAGACAGACCTCCGTCACAAGACAAATGTACAACACTGGGTATAAATGTAGTGTGTTTTATGTAATGGTGAGCATTATGGATAAACTGATTGTAGTTTCATGGTTAAGGCTGCAATAGGATTTTGGTTATGACAATCTCGTATTTCTTACTATGAAGCTAAAACGCTGATTTAATTTAAAAATAAAATAACAAATGCAAAGCACTCTTTGAGATGCCTGTGAATTTATAGTCCCTGGCAATTGTCCATGGAAAAAGAAAACTGTCAAATATTGTACTTTATGGGATTATTTCATGTTCTGTCTCACCAAATTTGTACTCTATTTTTCACATCAACTACAAAATCCACTAACTTCAAATTTCACACAGGCGCCAACATTCCTCTTTGAAACCAGAAGAGCATGAGTGCATGTCTCCCCAAATCATTGGTGGAGGTAATTCTATCAACCCTTACTACTGGCCAAGGCTTCTGGTATCCTTCCTCAATTTTACTGCTGATATATATCATCTTAAATATTCAAATATAAGATCTCTTAAAAGAGAGAAAAGAGCACAGAACTCTCCCGGGACTGAATCAAGTCATATTTAAAGAGCTATAGTGTCTCTCAGAAAGATTAGTATAAATATGTGGTTATAGTCTCTGTAAACTGGGGCCATTGCTTTATGCCCAACTCGACCTGACCCTATGATGCTATGTCTTCACTTTGTTCCCATTGCTTCTGGAAAAGCCTGCTCCCAAGTATGGTCCTACTCCCACTTGCACTCACCAAACCTGGACGTAAGATGATGAAACCACTCCAGCTACATATCCGGGCTGGTACACCTAAGGGTGTTAGAGACCGATCTCAAGAGCAGTGCCCTGAGTGCCTCTGGAGCAGCTATGCTAGCTAATTTCTGGATTCAGTGCATATGAGGAGAAGGTCAGGGTATGCTCAAATGCTATGCTTCCCAAGAGCTCTGGAGATGCGAGGCGGATATACCCAGAGAGAGGCGAGCAATGCAGTCTTGAATTATGGGATATACCTACTACTTGTTGTGCAGGACTGTCCTGTGGGTAAGCCACTGGGCTGATAAACAGGGAAACTCAGAGGGTTCTATCCTTGGCTTAGCTACAGATTTCCTGCTTTACATCCTGGGGAAGTTATTTAAGCCAAAGTTGTCAGAAGCAACCATTAATTAGTATGGTCTTCGGGTATTCTTGAGACAAATGGGATTAAAGTGATGGTTCTTTTACACATGTGTAGAGGGATCTTTCAAAAGTAAAGAGGGGATTTGGGTATCTGTCAGCTTAAAATATATTTTTTAATTTTTCAGTTCCACTGTTGGTTCTGAAGAACCTAGCTGTAATAGATGGCAGCTCCTTTCTAAAAAAAGAAGGAAAAAGTTTAGAATCATTTCCAAGCAACATAATTGGTATTTTGGTTTGGTTCTCTACTTTTTTCATTAAATAAATCCTTGTATATGTTTGAATCCCTGGGGTAAGCCTCAAGCATTAGGACATACCTAATTAGTGGCACAAGGAGCAAGTGTTTTCTTGTAAGCTTTGATAAAGGGAACCAAATGATGCTGGATTTTCAATAAGTGAAGTAATTATAAATAGAAAAGATTTTTAGTTCATTTTTTTGGACTCTGAATATAAATAATATTGTTCTATTAGGTACACAATAATTAAAGATTGATACTCGTCTGCAAAGATGCTGAGGTTTGACAGATTATACTTAACCTTTGTGCATTGTGTATATGTATCGATATCTCTGTCTATGCCAGGGGCAGGCAACTATTTTGAGCAGAGGGCCATTTACTGAGTTTGGGCAAGCCATCGAGGGCCACATGACGGGCAACCCAGGGCAGATTAATATTAATTTTCTAAATTTTTTTAGGGGCCCTGCAGGCCGGATAGAATGGCCTGGCAGGCCGCATCTGGCCCCTGGGCTGCATTTTGCCCACCCTTGGATATGTGCTACTTTTTATACATTGGTTTTATTTAAGGAAAGAAAAGTTGTATTTTATGTCATTTGTGTCCCTTTGATGGACTAATATCTTGTCAGTTTATTACATTTGTAATGATTGACATACACTACATTACAATTATATGGGAGAGACAGTGGCATAGGGTTTAGGCTCAGTTCTGATGGACTAGATGGAGATGACTAGATGGAGGTTGATGCTGGTGGCATGTCATATTTAATTACAACAACTTTACAAGAGCTGAGCGGCTTAAAAGATAAAACAAAATACTGGACAAAATATTTGGGATCTTGGCTTGGATCCAGCACGGTGTCCTAAGTGAATGCATCATAAAATCACTGTAGATCAATGCAGAATTTACATGAGTGACTTATAAGAGCCCTAGAGCCAAGTGAACATGGTGATTGAATTAGCTGCTACATTTCGAAAGGATTCTCCCTCCAGGTCAGACTTCTAAACATGGTTGTGCTTGTATGGAGAAGTTCATGTTGTTGTGAAAGTATACTTACACTATGCAGCAAAGGAAGACTTTGGCTTCTAGAGTTTCATAACTCTTTACCTTTGACAAGCATGACTAATTTTCATTTAAAAAAAACAGAAGGGAAAGCGATGCAAGCAATAAATGTAGAAGAATTTTTAGTAGTACTGCCTTCATTGAGGAACTGCCAATCTTCTTAATTTAAATAGCCATTTATAGTATGATGTCTTTTATTGCTATAGAGTTTAAATTTAACCTACATGTACTTAGCTCTCAAATAATATCTCATTTATTTTTAAAGTGTAATGGATAAGCTGCTCTATAATAATATGAAGCTTGTCAAGAGAAGAAAATTTCACAAGCATTTAATGTGTATGTGCACTTACTCTGTTGCATATGACCAGATGTGGCTTTTGTGCATGTAGCATACTGCAAATTTTTATGTTGCTTTCTTAATTTTATTTTTTTCCTATTTATTTTTTAAATTGGATTATAGAAAAGAGAGAAACTACATCAGTTTTAAAAAATAAATACACTGGCAAAACGCCTGTCTTTTAATAGATCCTTTAATAAAATGTTGTTTTTATGTAATGTAGGGAAGCATAAAGCCAAGACTACAAAATGGTGTAATTTAACAGGAAATGTAACATGTCACTTATTCCAGGAATTTGAAATGTGACAGAGTTGCAAAATTATTTTGGAAGGTTTTTCTTTTTAATCTTTTTAATAGAAACAGTAGCATTAAATCAGATATCCCTCTGTTCATATATTGATAAATACTAGCATATGTTTTATTAAAATTGCAATTGTCTGCAGTTCTCATTTATGTATGTTCCAACACTTAAGTAACCCGATATCTCTATTTTTGTGTCTCAGCACGATGTATCGCAGACTTTGCTCAAAGCAACCCTGGACAGTGTGGTTGAAGAGTGTGTCAGCTTTGTAGGAGTTGATATTAACATCTGCTCAGAAATACTATTAAGGTAAGTCAAATACTTTCCTATTCCAGTAATTACATGGCTCTGGATCACAGTGTCTCTGTTTAGTCTGCCATATGACTCAAACTCAGCTGGAGCAAACGGGTCTTGTATTAAACTTCCAATTACATGAAAATGACATATTAAGACAGTGTTTCACTGGGATATTGAGAGCCAGGTTTTCGAAAGGGATGTGGTTTGCAAGGTAAAATCATTCTCCAAAGAAAAACAAATATTTTTAAAGTAATAATCCATCACATAAAACAAATACCACAATAAAAAATATAATATGATGCAATTAATTTGTACATTTATGTTACAAGAGAAGGGATTTCCACATGTTTGTTCTGTATGTCAGACAGTATTTTTATGGATGCTAGCAAGTAGAAAAACATTTTGGGGCAATACTTTGTGAAACAGGTCCCTTTTACACGTTGAATTTATGAATGGTTTTACTAGCTCCCTAGTTGGTTTTTGTGAAAATGCATTTGAAAAATTCATCTAATTTATTGAAGAAAAAAATTCAACCATTTGGTCCAATGGATGACTTGAAAGGTAAATGTTAAAAGTTGGAATAGGCTCAAATCTTGCGCCTATTGGAATCAATGGTTAAGTTCCCATTTACTTTAATAGGAGGAAGTCATGGCTATGTACAGACATTCCATTTTTACCGTTCAGTTTCTCCTGGTAGAAAGCACAGTTGGGCAGACAGTCGAGCTTTTTCTCCCAGACCAAAAATGGCCACTCCACAAGAAAAATAATTTGGGAACCACCATGATTTAAATCACTTATGGGAGAGTTTCTCCCAGGAGACTGAATGTTTGAACATTTCCCCCCAGTTTATCTCCTCCTGGAGACTAGGAGAAATGGAACCAGGCAAAAGGCTCCCATGTCTTCCTGAGACTGGGGTTACTCTGGTCTGGAGAAAGTGTGGTGTCTTCCTCATAAATGGGAGGGGAGGCGAGGAGTAGCTGCATCTGCTCTTCAGTTGCTTCTCACACCAGAGTTCCCAGTGTAAAAAGTGAGCAGGGGTTTTGGGGTGCTGCTCCCTGCCAAGCAGCTGTGGGGCACCCAGTGCTGAAGGCAGGGAGCAGTGCTGTCCTCTGCCAGCTTCCCTTGCCAGGACTCGGAGGGCAAGGGGTAGCCAGCGAACCAGGTTCAATGAGACTGTCCCAGGGGTAGTGGGGCTAAGGCCACCCTGCCTCACTTCACTCCCCCTTCCCTGCCCCATGCACTGGAGACCAGGTTTGTGGAGTGGGCTGGGGATTTGCCCCACTGCTCTGTCCCCTTGGATTGTGGCACAACTGCTCCCTTCCCTCCATTCCCTGAGATCAGGAGCAGAGAAGAAGAGAAGCTGCTTTGGGTGGGCATCTTTAGTCCACTGTTCCTCTCTCCTCCCTTACATGTCCAGGAGAGAAATGATCAACAAGGCAAAACCTCCAGCCCTTTCTCCAAACCAGGCAGTGCTTGGCTTGGGGGAGAGGCAGAGAGCACTGGTGTTTGGGTGCAAGGGATGGCGGCTTTACCCTAGTGTTCCCACTGCTCTGCTCCCAGAGACAGAGAGTGGAATACAGGAGGCTGCTCTTCCATTTCCCAGACCCTAGTCTGGGACAGGTGTGGTGAGTCTTCCCTGCTGCCCTGGGGACCATGAGGAGAGGAGCACACTACTTCCCCTACCTTCCCCAAACTAGGTTCCCCCTGGTCTCAGGATGGCAGGGGGCAGGGGTGGCTGCAGACTGAACATCTAAACTGCTCCCTCTCCCAAAATAATTTCTACCCATGGAAATTTTTGAGAATGAACCCATCATGGCCCATGCCTATAATTTTTGCAGTGCAAATTATTGTAGATATGAAAGCGGTCCATATAACCACTTCTTTTCTTCACCTTGATTGTTTGTTTTTTTTTGAATGAAGGGCTTTTTTTTAGTACATTTCTTTACCTACACTTGGCTTTTTGCATCTGCTTTTCTTTTCCTATGTTCCTTTTCTAAATGTTTTGATGCTTGCCACCTTTGCTATCTGTCTTGCCCTCTTTCCTGTTCAGCTCATTTGCTAGAGAAATAGTAGTTCTGTATTGTTTGATTGATTGAGTTATATTCTGCAATTCCT